TTTTAATAGATTAAATATGCAACACACATGTGGACAAAACAAAACTCCAGATTAAACTGCATGTATTTATTCAGGCATGCCAATCCACTTACGCTTTCAAAAATTTGTTTAACTATCATGTGATAATCTCAATGTCGTTAAAAAGAATATTATGTTATCAAAATTTAGACGTCAAATGCAATTTTCTTAAGAAAGAAAAACACACCTTTCGTCTAGTAAAAGAAAATTTAGACTAATAATTTTATTATTTCGTTCAGGGTTTTTGGTTAGCCATACACGAATTACTCTTCCTACAATTCTTTGTTAACAACATTTCATTTAAATATCTTCTAAATATTTATAACCAGCTGGTAACTGCACAAAAAATTTCTTCTTCACCATTTTAATAGATTTGGAAAGATTTACAATAAGAAACTCATGAACATAGATTATTTATAGTTTTTTAAAGTTATATATGAATAGTCAAAAAAATTCACACTGTAGGTAGTTATTTTAAAATTGTATTTCTACATTTTTGAAGAAACACAACATTATAAAAATACCTAATTAAAAACATTCATATGATGACAAACACAATTTAATAAATTGTGAAAGATTTACGATAAGAAACTCACGAACATGGACGATTTATAGTTTTTCAAAACTATATATGAATAGTCACAACTTTTCATATTATAGATAGTTATTTTAAGATGGTATCTCTACAATATTTTTTGAAGAAATACATCATTACAAAAATTACTCTATTAAAAAAATTATTATCTGATCAAAAACAAATTTTAATAAATTTTGAAAGATGTACAATAAGAAAATCATGAACATGGACTATATAGTTTTTCAAAGCTATATATGAATATTCACAATTTTTCAGATTCTAAGTAGTTAAAACCTTATTTTAAAATGATATTTCTACAATATTTTTTAAGAGACACATCATTACAAAAATACTTTAATTTAACAAACATTCATATGATTAAAAATCTATTTTAATAAATTGTGAAAGATTTACAATAAGAAAATCACGAACATAGACTATTTATAGTTTATTCAAATATATATATGAATAGTACAACTTTTAAGATTATATATAGTAAATTTTAAATGGTATCTCTACAATATTTTTTGAAGAGACATTATTACAAAAAGTACCCTAACTAAGAAAAAATCATATGATCAAAAACACATTTTAATAAATTGTGAAAGATTTACAATAAAAAACTCATGAACATGGACAATATATAATTTTTTAAAGCTATACATGAATAGTCATAACTTTCAAATTATATGTAGTTATTTTAAAATGTATCTCTACAATATTTTTTGAAGAGATACATCATTACAAAAAAATACTTTAATTAAAAAGCATTCATGATCAAAAACATATTTTAATAAATTGTGAAGGATTTACAGTAAGAAAACCATGAATATGGATTATTTATAGTTTCTTAAAGCTATATATGAATAGTCATAACTTTTCAAATTATATGTAACTATTTAAAATGGTATCTCTACAATAGTTTTTGAAGAAACACATCATTACAAAAAATAGCTAATTAGGAAACATTCATATGATCAAAAACACACTTTAATAAATTGTGAAACATTTACAAGAAAAAACTCATGAACATGGACAATTTAGTGTAAAAAAAAAAGAACATAGACTATTTATAGTTTTTCAAAGCTACATATAGTCACAACTTTCAGACTATGGTAGTTATTATAAAAGGGTGTCTCTACAATATTTTTTTTTAAAAGATACATCATTATAAAAATATCCTAATTACAAACATTCACAGTATCAAAAACACACACCTAAATTTTTTTCACAACCATTTGAAATATAGTTACATATTGAAAAGCCACAAATTTTCACATTAACTGAGATTTCATATATATATATATATATATCTGTAATATAAATACATATTTAAACATTTTTAATAATTACATGGTTGGGAAGACACAGCATTTCATCATTATTTGTTTTCAGTAGTTACTTAATTGAAAGAAAAAAACACAACCTTTAAACATTAATTGAGATTGCTATTATTAATAGTAATAGATATATGCTATTGTTTTGCAGAACTTAGTGTTGATAAAGAACTAGAAGCTATGGGTACAGAAATGGTTAAATATTGTGGAGGACTACCGCTAGCTGTTAAAGTGCTGGGAGGCTTGTTAGTTGAGAAATCTACGGTTGAAGAGTGGAAAAACGTATATGACAATATTCAAACTCGGATCATTCGCTCAAATGACAACAATCAAGATTCGGTTGTAGGAGTATTGTCTCTGAGCTATGAAGATTTGCCAATGCATTTAAAGCATTGCTTCCTTTGCCTAGCTTATTTCCCTGAAGACTACAGGATACAAGTGGAGAGATTGTATTATTTATGGGCAGCAGAAGGAATAATAACGTATGATGGACCAACCATTCAAGAGAGTGGAGAAGAATACTTGGAAGAGTTAATAAGGAGAAATATGGTTATTGCTGAAAAAGATAGTTTGAGTTGGAGATGGGGTTCTTGTCAAATGCATGACATGATGAGAGAAGTATGCTTATTTGAAGCCAAAGAAGAGAATTTTCTTCAAGTCATCAAAGCCCCTACTACTTCCACTTCTACTGTCAATGCTCATACTCGTAGATCTAGTAGACTCGCAGTGCATGGCGGTAATGCACTTAATATGTTGGGAGGTAAAAGCAATAAAAAAGCTAGATCTGTTTTGGGTTTTGGACTCGACAGCAACTTGTGGAAACAGTCAGCTCAAGGATTCCAAAATTTACAGTTACTTAGGGTATTAGATCTGAGTTTACAATATCCTAGAGCTGGCTTTGAAGTAGGGAGACTACCCTCCAGCATTGGCAAGCTCATTCTTTTGAGATTTTTGAGGTTAGACTTGACTTCGGTATCTCATCTACCTTCTTCTCTACAGAATCTAAAGTTTCTACTCTATTTGGACTTATACTCCCGGGTATGGTACCCGAAGAGAGTTCACGTGCCAAATATCTTTGAAGAGATGGTAGAGTTGAGGTACCTGTCGCTACCCTCTTTAATGAATGATAAACCAAAGTTGGAATTGGGTAATCTAGTGAACCTGGAGTTTTTTAAGGGGTTCAGTTCGGATAATTGTAGCATCACAGACCTCTGTGGTATGACTAGGCTCAGGACTCTCGAGTTAATTCTCGAACGCAAGTATACTTATGGAACTCTAGCGTCATCTCTTAGTGAATTAAGAAATCTGGAGAGGCTTAAGTTGGTCTCCTGGTACCAATGCAGAGTGGCTTATGATTTGGATTTTGTTTGGAATTTCATTCATCTAAGGGATTTAGAGATGAGGATGGTTATGCCAAGGCTTCCTGAGCACTCTCGATTCCCTCCCAACCTTGCAAGCATATCTCTGAGTGAATGCAACATGGAGGAAGACCCACTACCGATTCTGGAAAAGTTGCTTCATTTAAAGTCCGTTGAATTACACCAAAGTGCTTTCGTGGGGAGGAAAATGGTGTGTTCAAAAGGTGGATTCCCTCAGTTACGTAAGCTACGTTTAATAGCTCTAGAAGAGTTGGAAGAGTTGGTAATCGAAGAACGGTCGATGCCATGTCTTCGTACTTTGTGTTTACGGTTTTGTGAGAAGTTGAAGGACATACCAGAAGGGCTGAAGTATATAACTTCATTAAAGGAACTGAAAATCTCCCAAACCAACAAGGAGTGGAAGGCGAAACTGGTACCAGGTGGGGAAAGTTACTACAAAGTCCAACACATTCCTAGTGTCATCACGTAAACTATATATTATGACGACGAATAAGGAGAATAAAACGTCTCAGGTATATCTTTTTGGTATAGTGTCCATATTGTTGGTTATGTATCCTCCTTGAAGTGTAGTGTGAAAGTCTCAAACCTTTTTATTACAGGGGAATCTACTCAGAATCAGTACCCACTATTTGATTGTGTGATGGGATGACATAAGTTTGACTTTATATTCCGTTTTATCTAAGTTTGAAATACATTATGTATGTGGAACCATATTTTCTTCAATGTATTCCTTGTGAGTGCTTAGTTGATTTGTTTAGTCGGACTTGGAGATATGATAATGCTTTGATGGTGAATGGTGATCATTGAACATGATTTTATCATTTGGTTTAACGAAGGTCAAGAGATTGAGGAGTCAACAGCTTTGACACCAAACATCTAGTTAACCTAAAATATATAATACAATTACCTTGATAGTATAAAACTCCATCATTAAAAATTGTTTTTGTTTTGGCTAAATTGGTGGACATTAGTGTAGTAATACACGGAGTTTTACTTGAAACGAGGGAAGAATCTTAAACGCTCGGCTCACGTCTCGAAAACAAACCATCTCACTATCCTGACTCTATTGACACAAACTATGCAAAACCACATGCTTTCTCTCTTTTTCCCTATATCTTAATCTTGTATTTCAAGTTCCTATTTTTGTATACATTTTATTCTAAATTAACCTTTTTCTCATTCAGCAAATGACATTAAGGTAATAAAACTATTATTCTCCCCGTTTCATAGTAAGTGTCGTTGTAAAGAATTTTTTACGTTACAAAATAAGTGTCGTTTCGATTTTCAATACAAAATTTATTAATTTTTGTATTGGTTAAAATATGGTTAGATGTATGAGTAATTGTGTTTTTGTATAGAAAATATATAAAATTAATTGTTTCCTTAATCCGTGTGCACAGCTATAAAGTGACACTTATAATGAAATAGAGAGAATACTTTCAAAACTCAACATGATTTCTAAAACCTGACGTCGGTAAGTTTTTATGACCATATCTCATGGATAGTGTCTCAAGCAAACAGATATAGATTAAAAGTAATTAATTATTCAGGTAAAGAACAAGAACCCCGAGGTAAAAGAAAAAGACAGAGCACATGCAAGTCCATTACTTTTATATTATCTTCTCTCTCACTCGCTTATCTCTAAAGTAAACTTCATTGAAACCACACTCCAAAAAGAGATAATAACAAAGAGACTCAACATCGATTCAGAACCGGTAATTCTGGTTTTAGATTCGAGAGCCAAAGCAAATGCCTCTTCCAAGAAAAGCCTCGACTCTTTCCATTACCATCTTTTCTCTATTCTTCATCTCCTCAGCCTCTGCATCATCAAACCACGAAGTCACATCTTTAATTTCTTGGCTTCAGAGCTCCACCACCACACCTCCTCCGACGTCGTTTTCCACCTGGAACCCATCTGATTCCGACCCTTGTCAATGGTCTTACATCACTTGCTCAGAAAAACTCGTTACAGAGATCAACATCGTCTCTCTTCAGCTAGCTTTACCTTTCCCTCCTAACATCTCCTACTTCACCTCTCTTCAGAAACTCGTGATCTCCAACGCTAATCTCACCGGAACTATCTCCTCCGACATCGGAGACTGCTCTCAGCTCAGAGTTATCGACTTAAGTTCAAACAGTCTCGTTGGTGACATACCTTCGTCTCTAGGAAACCTCAAAAGCCTCCAAGAACTCATCTTAAACTCCAATGGTCTCACGGGAAAGATTCCTCCCGAGCTCGGAGATTGCGTCTCCCTCAAGAATCTTGAGATCTTCGACAACTACTTATCAGGGCCTCTCCCTCCTGAGCTTGGAAAGATCTTAACTCTCGAGAGCCTTCGAGCAGGAGGAAACACAGAGCTTTCAGGAAAGATCCCTGAGGAGATCGGAAACTGTGGTAACCTAACCGTTCTAGGGCTCGCCGCTACGAAAATATCCGGTAACTTGCCTATCACGTTAGGTCAACTAAGCAAGCTTGAAACTATATCTGTCTATTCAGCAATGCTCTCTGGAGAGATCCCTAAAGAGATTGGAAACTGCTCTAAACTTATCAATCTCTTTCTATACGACAATGACTTGTCTGGCACGGTTCCAAGAGAGCTAGGTCAACTTCAAAACCTAGAGAAGATGCTTTTATGGCAGAATAATCTCCACGGAGCTATCCCTGAGGAGATAGGTTTCATCAAAAGCTTAAACTCCATTGATCTCTCTACTAACTATTTATCAGGAACTATTCCTGAATCGTTTGGTAACTTGACGAATCTCCAACAGCTTATGCTTAGCAGCAACAACATCACAGGGTCGATACCTTCCGTTCTAAGCAACTGCACAAAGCTTCTTCAGTTGCAGATTGATGCTAATGAGATTTCTGGTTTGATTCCTCCTGAGATTGGTTTGCTTAAGGAGCTTAATATCTTCTTAGGGTGGCAGAATAAGCTGGAAGGGAACATTCCGACAGAGTTAGCTGGTTGTAAGAATCTTCAAGCTCTTGACTTGTCTGAGAATCTTCTCACCGGAGCCTTACCTGCTGGTTTGTTCCAGCTTCGGAATCTGACTAAGATCTTGCTTATATCTAACTCCATCTCCGGTGTGATCCCACCGGAGATCGGAAACTGCACTTCTCTTGTCAGATTAAGGCTTGTTAATAACAAGATCAGCGGAGAGATTCCTGAAGAGATAGGGTTTCTTGAGAACCTTAGCTTCTTAGACTTGTCTGAGAACGATCTCTCTGGTTCGGTTCCTTGGGAGATAAGTAAATGCAGACAGCTACAGATGCTAAACTTGAGCAACAACACTCTTAGAGGTTATCTTCCTCTCTCTTTATCTTCTTTAACAAAGCTTGAGGTTCTTGATGTCTCTTCAAATGACTTGACTGGCACGCTTCCTGATGGTCTTGGTCAGCTCGTTTCACTTAACCGTCTCATTCTAAGTGAGAATTTCTTCACTGGGAGGATCCCTAAGTCTCTAGGTCAGTGCAAGAATCTTCAGCTTCTTGATCTCAGCAGTAACAACATCTCTGGAACCATACCTGAAGAGCTCTTTGACATTGAGAATCTAGATATTGCCTTAAACTTGAGCTGGAACTCATTAGATGGCTTCATTCCAGGGAGGATCTCAGCGCTTAACAGACTATCCGTTCTAGATATATCTCACAACATGCTTTCAGGAGACCTCTTTGCGCTGGCCGGTCTTAAGAACTTGGTTTCTCTCAACATCTCTCACAACAGATTCTCAGGTTATCTTCCAGACAGTAAAGTGTTCAGACAGATGGTACAAGAAGAGATGGAAGGGAATAATGGACTTTGTTCCAAAGGCTTCAGGTCTTGTTTTGTCAGTAATAATGGTACACGGTTAAACACACAGTCCGGTGAAGATTTTATGCACTCTCAGGGACTCAAGATAGCCATTGGTTTGCTAATCAGTTTAACAGTGGTTCTAGCGGTATTAGGCGTGTTAGCGGTTTTACGAGCAAGGCAAATGATTCAAGACGATAACGATTCAGAGAAGGGAGAAAACCTATGGACATGGCAATTCACACCTTTTCAGAAACTCAACTTCACAGTAGAACATGTACTCAAGTGTTTGGTAGAAAGTAATGTTATAGGTAAAGGCTGCTCCGGCGTAGTGTACAGAGCAGAAATGCCTAACCAAGAAGTCATCGCAGTGAAAAAGCTCTGGCCAGTGACGGCAACAGTTACCAAGACATCAGGAGTTCGAGACTCATTCTCAGCTGAAGTCAAGACACTTGGTTCGATCAGACACAAGAACATTGTTAGGTTCTTGGGATGTTGTTGGAACAAGAACACGAGGCTTCTTATGTATGATTATATGTCGAATGGGAGTTTGGGAAGTTTGCTTCACGAGAGGAGTGGTGAATGTTGCTTAGGGTGGGAGGTTAGGTACAGGATTATACTTGGTGCAGCTCAGGGTTTGGCTTACTTGCATCATGACTGTGTTCCTCCCATTGTTCATAGAGACATCAAGGCTAATAATATTCTCATTGGCCCTGATTTTGAGCCTTATATTGGAGATTTTGGTCTTGCTAAGCTTGTTGATGATGGTGACTTTGCTCGTTCTTCCAAAACCATTGCTGGTTCCTATGGTTACATAGCTCCAGGTACTTTCCACATTTCTATCATCTATACTACATTATTAGTAGAAATAGTAGTCAGTGTTGGTAGATATTCCGGTTTATTGTTTGGTTTATATGTTGGTCTCTAGTTACTAGCAACCATAGTTCAAGAAATCGCTAAATGGTAATTAGGTGGCGTCTAGACCGATTTTTTTGAATACCTAGACCAATATGTTTTTAAAAAAACATATTCAATAAAAATGTCTGATTTGCCGCCTATGCGCCGGTTAAACCAATTTTTAGAACACTACTAGCAACATATATCAATCGGACATACATGACACAGTCTTATACTGCTTATACCATGCAGAATATGGATATTCACTGAAGATAAGAGAGAAAAGTGACGTGTATAGCTACGGAGTCGTGGTCCTAGAGGTACTAACGGGGAAGCAACCGATCGATCCAACGATACAAGATGGACTACACATAGTAGACTGGGTCAAGAAGATCAGAGATATACAAGTAATTGACAAAGGATTATTAGCGAGACCAGAATGTGAGGTCCAAGAGATGATGCAGACGCTAGGAGTTGCACTTCTCTGCGTTAACCCAATGCCTGAAGATAGGCCCACAATGAGAGATGTGGCTGCTATGCTTAGTGAGTTACGTCAAGAAAGAGAGGAGTCTATGAAAGGTGTTGAGAATAATGTTTGCTCCGGAAGTTGTAACCACAGTGGAGGAGAACGTAGTAGAGATGATTCTTCACCTTCCTCTGTTGTGCAGCAAACGGCTAAGCATTTGGGAAACAGTAGCAACATTCTCTCTACGTCTTCTTTGATGTACTCTTCTTCTACTACTACTTCTAATGCCAGACCAAATGTGAAATAGATGAGTAATTAAAATTTCTAAGGGAACAAGTTTTCTACTTTGTGAGATTGTGGTTACCTTTATGACGTTGTGACTAACTCTGTGTTTAACCAAGAAATAAAAACTGAACAACAATCTAGGATATACTATGCGAAAATGTGTTTTTTTGTTTGATATGAACTATGTTTTATATCATTTTCATTACGTGAACGCAACGAAGAAACGAAGTCTTTTGAATTTTCTTTATTTGGATCTCTGGAGTATTCCCAGATAAATCTTAGTCATATCTTATTTATTAAAATAGAATCATGACTTCTTTTCATTTGTAATTTTTATATTTAGATCATTTTTTGGAACCTATATCAACATATTCCAAATTACAATAGCTTATAATCTTTATCTTTTTATTTAGAATGATAATCTTAACTATTAAAATAGAATTCATGATTTTTTTCCATGTATGATTTCTGTATGTGGACCATACTTTGGAAACTATATCAACAATTTCCAAATTAAAATATCTTTAGAAAGAATATCTTTTAATCTTTATCCTTTATTTGGAAGGAAAATTAGTATTGTTTTACAAAAATGCTAACAAATCTTATAAAATCTATTTAAAAATTATTTCCAAATATTAATTAATTAAATTCTAAATATCTTTAAATATAATTAGAGACTAAAGCTAACTTATTATTTTTTAGAATCTTATTAAAATAGAATCATGACTTATTTTCATGTGTCATTTTTGTATTTGGACCATTTTTTGGAAATTATAATTTTATCTAGATTTTGATCTACGCAACCGCGCAAGTTTTGTTTTCATTTTTATATACATAATATATTTTTTATGTATATACATAATATATATATATATATATATATATATATATATATTTTATCATTAGTGACGTTCGTCATATATTTAAATGTGTATATAATTATTACAAACACAATAATTTTATAGCTTGCATGTTAATATCAATTGTTTTAATAGTCTTTTATTATATATTTTTTCTACTTGGGTTTTCATTTAATTATTAATATTAATATATGCATGAAAAATAATAATGAAAATTATTTAATATGTTATTTATACTAATTATGATCTGAGTGTCAAAGTTAAATTACCGCTTAACAATTATTTAATGTTTATATAGATAATATATTATTATAAAAATTTAAGGTATGTTAATTTTCTACATGTATTATATAGTTACTAATGCTAATCCGCTCTGCCAACATATTATATATTATTAATATTAATATTTTATATTTATGAAAATAAAATTGATTAAATTATCAATTTAATATAATTTATTACATTTCCCTCAATATAATATTTTTTAACATAATTGATTATGATTATAAAATGGATAAAAAGATTAAAATTTTGTTTTTCATTTTGTAAGTGATGATATATATATATATATATATCAATGTATTAATGTATAATTATAATTCATAACTAATTTGAAATTATTGAAATATTTATATAATATTTTTAAAGTTAAGATCTTGTTAAATTCTATTCAACATATTTGTTAAAAAGATATTATGATTAAAGCAGTTACAAAAAAATGAAAGATAATTAATATTTGTCTTAGTAATGGTCCAAATAAAAAAATATTTACACATGAAATGAATCATGACTTATCTTTTAATATAATAGATTTTTTTAAAAAAATAAATATGATTTTAGTGTATAAATATTAATTATTTTTTGACATTCGACATTTATATTGATTTAAGTATATTATTTTGGTGTATATAAAAATATGTTTCATGGAATGTGATTTTAGATATCATTTTGTTAAATCTCATCAAAATATATAAATGTTAAAAAATATAACGGTAATTTTATTGTGAATATAAAATAACAATATAATGTTTGGTTTGTCTTATATAATTTTTTTTTTGTTAATGTATATTAAATTTATTCGAATGAGAAATGCTTTTGTACAAACTAATGCAGCTTTAAACTAAAATGTGTGGTAGTTTTTTGAATCAAAACCATATACTTATACATAAAAATTATTAATTTACCATTTTAATGTGATCATATATTTATGTAATATTTTTAAAAAGTATTATCTTATCGATTTGTGTTATATTTTGATCTGACCCAATTTGAGACCCATTTTTTTATTAATTTATGATGTTTAGTAATTTAGTGAGTATTAATTTTTAGAGTTTCTATTCTATGTGAAAAATCTTTTTGTTGGTTATGAATTACTTTTATATCAATTTCATTATGTGAATGTAAAGAAGTAACAAAATGGAAAAAACAGTAGTATTGGTCAAACTTCAGAGCTTTATTATTTTTTATATCATAATATAAAGAGCAATCAACTGAGATTAACAAACAATAAAATTAAGGAGGAGGAATTTTTAGGGGTGTCGAGGATTTGGGATTGCAGCAACACGTTAATCCTTTACAGAAGCCACCACTAAACCCTACGCTTATGCAGAGTGTATCGCAGTCTGGTACAATATCGGCATGACATACCCCTGGACATTCATCATTTAACCCCAATCTTGCTTCTGATCCTGTAAAATATTTTTTTTATGTTCGTAACCCAAAACCAAGTATATAAGTATACACCCTTATCAATGCAATTATTTTAACTGCATTATTATAAAAAGAATTTAAATCTATAAATAAAAAATTACACAATCAAGAATGCTTTGAAACTTTCAGAAAAATAACTGTGAATGATCGTCATATCCTGATAATTATAAGCATGAATATAATTTTGTGTTTGTTGACTGACCTATGATGAAGAACATGACTATGACAGAAACTGCAATGAAAGCATATGGAGATCTCCGAACATCCATGTTTTGTTTTTTTTTTCCCAGTGAATTATTTCAATGGTATCTGTAATTGTGAATCTTTTTTTTTTTTTGATCTTCTGGAGTATTTCTATTGTTTTGAAGCTTCGTATATATATAGGACCTTTTCTGAAATCTTAATCATACTTATTTATTACATTTCAGATTCAATTCTATAACTTCTGGTGGAAAATGAATTAGCATATGATAGTTTTGGGAAAACAAATGAATTAGTGTACAATAAATTTGAATTTTTGTATTTATAAAATTTTATACCTAATATAGTAGATTACTTATTTTTATTTTAACATATGACTTAATATTAGTAAGGTGTTATAAAAGATAATATTCATCCAGTGACATTTATTCTTTATATAAAATGTAAATATAATATATGAGGAGACAATGAAATTTGGTAATGTTGTATGTATTATATGTACAATACCGAAGTAGATTCAATATTTTTATCTAAACAAGTCGTATTTATGATTCTTTAATTAATTAATAAGACAATATGATTATTTACGTTAATTAGTCAAATATATATCATTCCACAAAATCCACATATTCAACAAAGATATTTATAATAAATGAATTTAATTATAAATTTAATCATTTGAATAATAAATGAATTTAATAATTTTATTATAAGTAAATTTATTATATTTACTTATAATAAATATGTTGAAAAAAATCTAACAAAATCCTACTAAAATTTTAAAATATTTTTATAAAACAATTCCTTGATATATTTCCTAATTAGTAATATAAAAGCATTATAAATTAATGTTAATTGAATTTTATTACAGAAACAAAAAAAAAATATTATATGCAAGTTTTTATAAATCTTGTAAGTATAGACAATCTATATTATTAAACGAGAAGTACAAAATAGAAATAACTCTTAATTTTATCAGTTATTTACATTAGAATGCCATTGAGATATTTATTAAACATATATTTAACTATGCTTGTATTTTTCTAGTTTAAATAATAATTTCAAATATTTAATATATTTCCATAATTTAAATGATAAATTTCCTTAGTCAAATCATAACCAAAATAAATTTCCTAACATATATGGTATTAACATATTAAATATTTTAATATTTATTAGTAATAAATAATATGTTATTTTTCTTTAAGAAAATTATTTAATAGAAGTTATAGTCCTAAATATGTTTATATATTTTATGTATTTAATTTTCTTTTTAAGGGATGCTAAGATTTTGGTATTGGAAAAAATTATGCCCCACCTCTATATTATTTTAATTAGGGAATTTAAAATTTACGTCAAAATATTTTATTAAATTATTAATTTGAAATATTATAAAATTAAAAGAGAAGAACAAAATAGAATAACTCTTAATTTTACCAGTTATTTACATTAGAATGTCACTAAGATATTTATTGAACCTAAATGTAAGTATGCTTGTCTTTTCTTAATTTAAATAATAGATTTAAGTATTCAATATCTTTTCTTATGTAAACAATAGATTTTTTTAGTCAGCCTTAACCAAAATAAATTTCCTAATATATTTGGTATTAACATATTAAATATTTTAATATTTATTAGTAATAGTAATATTTTATTTTTATTTAAGAAATTTATTTCATAGAAGTTATAGTTCTAAATATGTTTATATATTTTATGTATTTATAAAAAAAAATTTGAAAGGCTGCTAATATTTTGGAATTGGAAAAAAATATGATCCACCTCTATATTTTTAATTAGGAAATTTAAAATTTATATCAGAATATTTTATTAAATTTTTAATTTGAATTATTATAACTGTAAAGCTTAATTTTCAATCTTAATTTATATTTGAATAATATATATACAGCATTTAATGAAATAAATATAAAATAAATATCCGTCCAGTCGGGTGGGTTAAAATTTAGTATTTTATTAAAATAAAAACACGATATAATAAATATGATAAACTATATTAAATTTGTAAATTAACTTGTTTTGTTCTGTTAAAATTCTCTTGTTTAAATAACTTGTTTAATATTCACTTTTTTTTTACAACGAACGGCCATTCTATTTCTCAAGCTTGAGATGGTCTTGGTAATTAACCAGACCAAAATAGAACAACCGATCAAATATAGCTCTTTATGGAAGAATCTAGCCGTTTTCGCTAAAAAGTCAGAAATATTATTTTGTGCACGTGGAACATTAGTGATCTTGAAGTCTAGAAAGTATATTTGCAGAGTCTCTATTCTCTCTAGTTCCGTTGAAAAGTTTGGCCAAGCATGAGGCTCCTTGATCATGGCAATCAACTCCTTACAATTCGTTCGAAAGCTCTAGCATGTCGAGTGTTGGAGCATATTATCCATCGTCCATCGCAGTCTTGTACTTCTGAATGCAAAACTGATTCGCATCTAATGAATTTCTTGTCCTCATAAGTTATACCTTCCCAAAGGTATCCATATAAACCCATCCACTTTCATTGAACTCGTAAAGTGATATTTTCTACAGAAATTAAATTAATGACATATGTTAAGCTTTTTATATCTACAACTATAATTATTTATTTTTAATCTCATAAAATATATTATCTAAGAATGATTATATTCAAATAATAATGGTATATAACTAATCATTAGTTCATGTACTATTTACAAAGTACAATACTAGAAAAATTTGAATAATTTATTAAATATATTATTGACAAATCAATTTTAGTTATAAATTAAATGTTTATTTTAACTATAATAAAATCTGTCAAAGTATAAAAAAATCTTAAAAATCATATATTTTTAAAAACATGCAAGTCAAAAGTATATAATTTTATTATTTATTTAAATAATTATTTACATTTATACATAGGAACGGTTTAGACCGGTTTTAGTCAGTTCCTTGTAATATTTTTCTTTAAGAAAATGTTATTCTTTTACATATCTATATATGTAAAAACCCTTTGTCAAAAGATAAAAAGTGGTCCAAATTTTTTTTAGCCTGCGGTTTCGAAAACTTAGAGCACCCCCATCAAAGGATGATGGGGGAGGTTCACACAAAAACCAAGAAAAAAGAATAAAATATAATATATCTGATGAACTTGGGTCGCGGAGGTTCAGTGGGGTGAACCCGTATTGACACTATTTCGCGGGCCCCACGTCACGTGGCGGCCCGCGAATGGTCCACTTTAATATTATTATCATCTTTTTTTTTTAGAAAAAGCAAACGAAAAAAATAAATTAATTTTTTTGTTGTTGTGAACCTCCCTCCATTAGTTCACTGATGGGGGTGCTCTTAGAAACTAATTATGTACCCAAGTCTTTGCTTTTATAATTAGGTTGATTCTATATTTAAAGAAAAAACAGTTCCTAAAAAGAAGACAAGAGAAAGTTAAAAGGAGTAAAATCACTCGGACTAAATGTTTATGCTTGAAAATAGATGACCCTACAAAGCTAATTTGGTTGTAGTCTTAAACCATCACCAATGTATTATTATATTTTCTCTTCTATAATAGAGTAATCCTATAATAAAAATGATTTTTCTCCAATATTTTTTTATTTATTTTTTCTTCTAAAAATAAATATTCTCATAAGATTTTTTTAAATATTTTACAATTAACATCTTTAAGTTATAAATTTTGAAAATTAATCCATTTATTATAACTTTAATTTGTTTTCATAAAGGTGCAATACTATTTAAATTAAAACATTTATTACAAAAGACACTGACATAAAAAAAAAACAAAGCAGACATTATCTTTATTTTTGGAACACAACATAGACATTATTTAACCATCATTATTACTATAATTTTCCCATAAATGATCAATTAATTCATTTGAGAAATGAACTTTTTTGTTTTTAATTTATTTGAATCTATCTAGAAACTCTTGAACTGGTCATCATCTGGTATTTGGATTTATGAAGGTGGAATTTCTCTTCCAATTCAATTGGTGCATTGAGATCACGCTCATCCACAATAGTTATATTATGTAAAGTATGTAGCCATTATATCATGTAATATATTTTTTTCAAAAATGTACCGGTTCTTTCAAGATAGCAAAACGTGATTGTAAAATTCTAAATGCACGTGCTACATCTTTTCTAGATGCTTCTTATTGTATTGCAAAATATAATTTATGGACCTCCTACCTTAGTCATCAGTAACAAAATCAACAAGCTCCTTCATCTACTTTGTTTGGACAATATTTTAACGATCTTTGTGAATCCAAAAGTAATTTACCAGAGTAAAGTTGTTTCATTATGTTGTAGTAGTTAATATTTAAGTTCAACTTAAATACAGTGAAACCTCTATAAATTAATAATGTTGGAACTATACTAAAATTATATTTTTTTATTAATTTATAGAGATTATTAATTTATCGAGATACTAATTGAACCAAAAATTCAATTTAAGACTATAAAATTATATTTTATAGAGAATTTTAGTGTATATTAGTCTATAGAATATAAATTTGAAAATGTTATACTGTAAGTTATCAATATGTAAAAGTTATGAGTATAATTTAATTATTAAATTACAATTAATAGTTTTAGTTTAAAATATAAAATTTAAATAGCATTTGTTATTTAAGAAGTCAGACTTTCAAATAAAATAATAATATTATTTACTTATTTATGACTGTAAAAATTAAGAATTATTTGTAAACAAAAAATATGTTTTATACATACAAATATTGTATTTCTTCATTAACATGTTATTTAGTTATAATCATAAAAATTAAAGATTATTGTGTAAATAAAAAGATATGTTTCTGTTATAAAGGAATATTATTTTTTTCCTCTAAATGTAGAGGAAAAATAACAATCTCTATTTTATGGGAAAAAATAAAAGTGGATTGGAATAGAATTTATTCTATTACAGCATATAGAAACAAAAATAGAGATGAATTGGAGATACTTTCAAAAAAATTAGATGACACCTAGATTCCAGAGAACTTGTGGGGGAGGGGGGGGGGGGGCTCACTCATAGCTTCTAGATTT